CTTGACCGATTTGATCGCGGTTGGTGCCATTCGAAAGGGTTTGACTAAACTTAGATTTTTAAATACAAGTTGGATTCGGACTGATAGATTTTAAGAAATCTTAAAAAAACTGCGAAAAAAAATTTTTTCAAATGTGGTTTTTTTTTAATAACTTTGAAACGGCTCGACCGATCAATTCCAAAATCTAATCAGCTTTTGAGATCAAAAAACCACGTTGATCACCGCAAGCCCGGTCAAAATTGGTTGATTCATTCGGGAGTTATCGTTGTCGAAAAAAAAACCGAAAAAAGTGTTTTTTCGGAATTACTTCGAAATTCCTGGCTCGATCGATTAAAACTTGAAGATTCTTCATAAGGCTTCAAAAACTGCATTGAATTCCGCCAACCGCGTGAAAATCGTTTCATTCATTCAAAAGTTATTGCCGTTTGAAAATTCAAAAAATTGTGTTTTATTAAACTGCTATTAGAGTTTTGAGCTCGAAGAGCTCAAAAACGTAATGTGTAACTTTGAGCGCTTAAGTACAAAATAAGCGGAAAGTTGAAGGGATGGGTTTTAGAGTCAACCGTCATCCTAATTTTTTTTTTTTACTCAGTTCATCTAGTTTGTGAGCTAAGCGGAACATTACAAAAATATTTTGGAAATCTTGACATATACTGTAAAAAATTTCGGTGTGAAGTTGAACCCAGAGGCTTTTACACCGTTGTATAAGTGTGAAATATCGGTGTAAAATTTTTTTCCATGTAAAATTTTCACTCGTGTAAATTTGACACGGTGTAATTTACTATTTTACACTATTGCGTGTTATTATTTATACACGGAGAAAAGTAAACTGTAATATTCACTCGAATTCCGGTTAGTTTTTATAATTTCAAACAGTACAGTGGACAACGGGGTGGCAAAAATGTAAATATATTACAGAACTTAATGTAGAAAGTATAAAAGCCACAATTTATGATTTAATATCCAAAATAAGTGATTAGTAGTTGTCACTATAGTAAATAACGACTCTTTCATCTTAAAAATTACAGTTTCAAACAGTAAAAATTGCCGTTTCAATATATAGTCCATACTATGAGGAGAAGGGGGAACTCAGTTGAGGAGAAGAGGATCTCACACTGGGAGAATTTAACATTTGAAACAGTAAAAATTCTACTCTTAAAATATATATTTTACCAGTCCAAGAAAGTCAATAATTTGATTTTAGTTTGATTTTTAGCGTTGCGTTTAAAATTTACCATTTTACTTTGTAAATATTGACGTTGCTCGTATTAGAAATTTAGCAACTGTATTTTATACTTTTTACATATAATGCGATTATTTTTTAGGTACCAAATGATAAATATCAAAGTCAAAATTATTAATTATTATACTTTAACATTTTCGACATTCACATAGCGAATATTACTGTTTGAAATAGTATTTTCTTCTATGTAAAGAATAAATTGTAGCATTTAAATGATAAATAGTACATAGTGATTATTAAATCACGATTTTACTGTTTGAAATGGTAATTTTTAGCAGTAGATCATGACTTATTATAAATCGATTATTATTTACTAGCTGTCACTCGCCCGCTCCGCTAGGGGCTTTATAGAATTACATTTTTAGCTTTAGACTTGAAATTTAATTAGAGTATTATTTTTACTTGCACAGATTCTCAATTCTATCGAATAGGCATGCACCTTTTATCCACATAATTATTCTAGCTAATATTGATTCTAACTTTCAATGTGCAATCATTATAATATTCCCGTGTCTTTCTTACAAAAATGAATAATAATTAATTTGAAAAAAAAAAAAAAAATTTGTAATGAGCCTTGAAAGTTCCAGTTAAAAAGATTGCAGGTCTCATACGCAGGTGAAAATACAACAATTAAAATTTATTTCGACAATTTTTGTTTTGATTAAGAATAATTTCTTTCGATAAATGAAAAAATAATTCAGACAAATTAGTCATTCTTAAAGAATTGAATCGAGTACCTCGGATTATAATAACTATCTTTGTTTCTCCTCTTTATTAATAAATATTTAATTCATGTTTAAATATTTATTTAAAAAATTTAGAAACGTCTGTTACCTTCGGTATTGTTAAAAAATAAGTATAGAGTTTGGTAATAAAAACTTACCGTAGCTTCCGTAACCCTGAGTAGCAGCTGCTGGTTGGACGTTGTAGCTGCTTCCCCACTGATGAGGTGGCGGTGGAGGAATCTGCTGCTGCTGAGGAGGTCCTGGTGGAGCACCCCATCCTTGAGCGTTGTACTGAGTGCTGTATCCAGCGTAACCACCAGTCTGAGGATTAGTGCCCCATCCTTGGTACCCTTGCATCATGTTGCCGGGTGGACCCATGTGGCCTCCCATCATCGGACCTCCCATCTGACCATTAGGTCCACCCATGGGGCCCATGTTACCGGCCATACCCATTGGCGGGCCACCTTGCTGAGGCTGATGGCCCCATTGTCCTTGGTGACCGTCATTCATCTTGCTTGATGAATCACGTGGCTCCGCACGCTTGATTTCAACCTGCAACACAGTAATTTACATCGTTAAGTATTTTCATTTTTAGAGCGGTTAAAAATTTTTAATGCAAATAAATAATTTAATTAAATCTGCTCCTCTGCTGCCTGCTTTAATTTATTTTCACTATTGTTAATTTTTTAAATTATTTTATTTAATTAATAAATTAGTTTACTTTAATTATAATTAATTATATTTAATTTAATTTAATTTAATTATAAGTGAGATTGTAGTGAAAAAGTAAAAGTCGCAGGACTTTTACTCTTATTCTTAATGATATTTAATTAAATTATTTGTTATTTCTTTTTTTTACTGTTCATTTTATGTATAACTAGTGATTTATACCTGTTTTCCATTCAAGTTGACGAAATGCTCAGCTACGCAACGGTCGACTCCTTCCTCGTCTTCGAAGCTCAGAAATCCAAATCCTGTTTTCGTAATAATATTTGTTATAGATCATTTTTTTTAATTTATTTAACATCAATTTTCCGTAATATTTTCTCCAGATGCAACTTTTAAGAAAAATATTTATTTAAGAAATCTTCATTAAGTAACAATTTAAAATAAATTAATTTTTTTAAAATTAAGGGACACAATAAGTGTAAAATTTTCAAAAAATCGATTTTTTTTTTTTCATATTTCGATAGATTATATGAAAATTAATTTAGCTGGTAATAGTTTTGAAACTTTATGTAACAGATAAATTATAGCAAAAAAAATTAGAATAAAAAATTGATATTTAGAAATTTTAAAAAATTAAAAATGCAATTTTTTTAAAATAACTTTTTTTTTTTATTTTTCTTGTCAACAAAAATTAAAAATTTTCAAGTGACTGCTAACTTTAATATCGTATAGATTATACCTTCAAAAATAGCATACTCAAATTTTAAATCAATACCTCAAATAGTTTTTTAGTTACAGCCATTTAAAGAGTAGAGTTAGATCGTTGCATTAGCAACAGAAAAACGCGTTTTCCTCGAAACAGTTTTCTTCAAAAATTTTACTGTATATTCTTAAAAAGGGTATTAATATACCCTTAAAATTTTAAAACAATTCATGCAGGAGTTTTTTTTATTTTAATTTCCAAAAATCGCTTTTTTTTTTGCTGTCACACTGGCTGTGCCCCTTAAAATATTGAATATAAATATAAAGATCACTCAAAATTGAAGAAACAATTAATTAATTAATAATAATTAATTTCTAACAGATAAATAGATTAAAATTTATATTATCCTAATTATAATAATGCTAAATATCTTAAATTTATTTATATAATAAATAATTAAAAATGACTAGTGAAAACTACTAAGCTCATTTAGTTTATAGCTGAGTTATAGTATAATAAAATTATTAAATTACACGATAACTTAATAATAAATTAATATTAATTCGACATTGATTATATAATTTAATTAATAATAAATGTAACGATTTTATAAATTCAGTATTCACTGCTAAATATTTATAGTTTAATTATATAAAATAAATACTTAATTGAAAGTGTTAATTACGTAATAAACAGTGTTTTGATTTAAACCAATAAAATTAGCATTGATATAATTAAAACAAGATATAAATTAATATGCATAAAGGAGAAAATGTAAAAAATAAAAATTTTTAAATGAATGAATGAATGAGTGGAGTGAATAATAATAATAATATTGAAAATGTGTATGATAACAATATAAATAGTAAAGTTGTTTCTCACCTCTTGATTTCTTTTTCTCTTGGTCGTACATGATTACAACTTCCATGACCTTGCCAAAACGTGAAAAGAATTGTCGTAAATCTGTCTCAGTCACGTTGCTAGGCAAACCACCCAAGAATACTTTTGGAAAGCCACCACTTCGTTTTGGTTTTTGTAATGTACGTGGATTACATGGTTTTGGATCGATCTATAATTATTTTTAAAAAATCCAAATTAAATAATTGCAAATTTTAGATAATAATTTTGGTAATTCAATAGTAACTTGATTCGATTAAATTTTTTTCTATTTACTGCAAAAATTAATTTTTAAACAACATTAAAAATAATATCAATTATACATTGGCTTTTATAAGTTTTCCTTACGATAAAATTTATACTATCCTTGACCAAGTATTACTTTTATTTTTCTACGCATTAATTATTATTTATACTTATTAATGTTCTATATGATAAGTAATTTCCCTATTAATCATACTCCATATTATTAAGAAAATAGCAAAATTTTGTGGCCAGAGTATTTATATGATAAAATGGGTTTTTATGGTTAAATTTAGTATCATTAGAAAGGTCTTGACTCGGAGTTGTGCCTTTTCATGGTTTCATATCATTCTCACTAATAGTCAATATATGATGATAAGTATTTAGGCTGCATTCGAAAATTCTCTATCTCTAGATACATAATTAAGGAATTACCTTGTATCTTGTGAACTATTTACATTTTTAAAGATATAAGCTCATCCCGATGTTACACTCATCGAGACCTTTCATTTGAGTACCCACATGCATTTTGATATATTTTTCATATATACATATATAATATATATATATATATATATATATATATATGAAAAATATATCAAAA